AGTAGACCTGCAATGTGGAAGCTGTGCCCAAAAAGGCAAGCAAAGGGCAAAATACCTCCTGTTTTTTTTTTTTTTTTTTTAAACGGTTTTGCCTGTATCCTCCCTGCTGCTGATCTTTTCTCCATTGCTGACTTGCCTTACTTTAATTTTGTGCACTGCCTTTCTTTATGGAGGCGGTCATCTTGGTAGAGGTGACGCTTTTGCTTTCTCATGTCATATCTGCCCTCAGTGATCTGACTTCTGAGGTAATATTTAAAAATCAACAGGAGAGGTGGAAGAAGCACACGTTCATGCAATAGATACAGTGGAAGCTGGGGGATGCTTGCACTGCAGGCCTTCAGGTACAGCTTTCTCTCCAGCAAGGAGAACAGTGAGCAGCACAGTAGTGACAACTCCAAATCTCACTTCAGATCCAGTGAGACTAGCAATCAGAGGCAGCAGTGCTATAAATCATCTCATGGATGTAGGTACTGGAGCCCCTGTAAACAGACTCTGCTTACCTGTGTAAAGCCGTCTTCTTTCTGGAGCCTGAGCTGCCACCAGATTGCTTCATGGACCAGAGCCCCCAGCCCAACACCCCCGCCATGCTTTCTGGGCTCTGCTGCCTCTCCTGTGGGCCTCGGACTGGCATCGTGGGTGTCGACAGGAAGTGGGGAACATATGTTCGCTGATCTCCTCCCCACTGAATGAAGGCGGAAGCGACACTGATTGCATCACTTTTGGCTTTTCAGCGGTCATTGGTCGGCTAAAGTAGCTGACCAAGTACGATCTGCGCTTGAACAGCTTGTTTGAAGTGCAAAGGTGACGGGTAAACACGTGTTGGGTGCGCCTACGATTGCGCTACACATCTTAGGTATTGCCACGTGCGCCAGAGTGAGAGCAATAGTTCTAGGGTGCATATTCATGGTTAACTCTAATGACCTTTACAGGCTGTTGACGCCTATGGACAATTTGGGGTACCCTATTTTTTTGGTATCTATTTACTCGGCATAACCTCATCTTTTGTTTTGTTTTATAGAAAAATTGTGTTTTGTGCACTAAAATCACATTTTTAAAGGGTTATTAAACCCTCAGCATGTTTTTGTATATATCTCCTGCTAGCAAGCAGTAGATATATGCAAAAACTTAAAAAAAACAAAAACCTTTTGAAACAGGTCTTCACCGCGTGCGCCCGTCCGAACATATGAAGAGTCTCGGGCGGCTACAAAGGATCTTAGGGCGGGCGCAGTTCAGATGTTCGGCCAGGAGACGAGGAGAGACACAAGGTAAGTCTATGGAGCAGCGTGCACCCGCACAGACACCGTGGGACATCAGAGGAGTCAGCGCTGGATCGGGGACCCGCACCAGCGCTGGAGGGACAGCTGAAAAGCACAGTAAGGCCTCATTCACACACAACGCAAGAGCAAAATTGTATATTGCACTCATGCGCGTATATGGGGGCACTATATGCAATCCCAGAATGCATTTTAGTGAACTGTACGCACGCACTACGTGCGTATACACGCGTATATGCGTGTAAAATATGTTGCTCGGACGCATCTCGGTTCCATTCTGTCTTTACGCTACTCAAATATACGGCTCCATACGCAGCTGTGTGTATGGAGCCATTTGTTTGCATATGCTGCATATGGTACAATACGCACGTATGTGCATATACGCGCCGCAGTGTGAATGAGGCTATTGTGTGGGGGGGGGGGGGGGGGGGGAGCCTTTAATGTCACTTTAAGTGGATTTTATACAGAATGATGCTAATATCCTGCGATGTACAAATTTGCAGATGCCTCCATTTTATTTTGCAGTGTCTGTGCTTTCAGTGAATGTGTAACTCTCGGGGTAGTGTAGGGGTTAAGTAATTTTCAGGCCTAAAATGTGGATTATTACATATAAAAAAAAAACACGTTTTGGCAACGAAAGGGTTACATTTATTATAAAAAAAATAAAAATAAAATGCAACTAGTGTTCATACTTGAATGTAACTCTTATGTATGCTGATAGGAGGAAAGTGACAGTGAGGTGAGCTCATCACTGCGCTGCTTCTCTTTCGCTGTACGGTCACATACTGGGGGCGGGTCCGTGACAGCTTAGGCTCAGTTGAAGTGGGTTGATGGAGGTGGTCGTCATTCAACCTGGAGGACATCTAGTGGCAGAAAAGAAAGAGGGCAGAGAACAGCTCTGGATTGAATGTGAGTATTACAGCAGTAACCTTTTTTTTTTCCTCTGTTATATTTTCCACTGTAAAAAATAAATTATGTTTGTAAGGATGTTGAAGGTAAATCTATCCCTGGAACTCGGAAAGCATTGCATGTCTGTGTGCTTTTATTTCAGTTACACAGGTCTCCATAGAATGGGGAATTAGCAGATTCCAGAGAGCCTTTTTCATCCCACCATCTGCAGTTTTGGGTGGCGCACATAATCCTGTAGGATATGAAGAGGTTTATGAGCTTCCCCGGTGTGCAGAGAGGCAGGGAAGGTGTCAGATCTTGGCTTTTACAGGCCAGAACACCTATGGGCACCTTGAAATGTACTTTCCTGTGACTTTTTTTTATCGTCGGGGGTTATCTACATTTTCACCAGCCTTGCCAGTGGCTCACGTGCGCAGGGTGATTGGCACGCATTGCCACTCGGGTCTGGTTTCGCGCCAAGATTGACATCCCCCCCCCCCTTTTTTCTTTTTTTTTTTCTGAGACCTGTGAGGTTAAACTGGGCTAAGTGAAGGGAAGCTTTGTTCCCCCATTGGCCTGGACGGCCCCTCCCAAATAAAAGTATAATTGGCCTTCGTTCTCCGTGCAGCGAAGGCTCCACAAACAGCAGCCATGGAGAGGATACAGAGCATTGCTGTACGCTGCGGAGGGGGGTATAGAATGCCCCTCTGTGTCTTGGGCCACCTCTACCCCCCTTCTTCTCTCCAGGCTGTGTTTATTTAACTTCAGAAACAGAGAGGTGTGTGTAAAGCTGGGCGAGGAGGAGGGGGGATAATTTCCCCCAATTTGATACACCTTGTAAATGCAGCGAAGTCTGCTCTGGGCAGCCTAACTTCCTCCAAGTCATTAGTGTCATTACAAGAGGGGAGCAGCTCGCACAATGAGCTCTGTGTCTGCATGGCCGGCGCAGAAAGAACTATTCAGAGGAACACGACACACCTCATCAAAACTCGCAATCCACACACTATGTACCTATAGCATTATCTGGAAACGTAGGGGCTTGCACCAAACGTTCTACACGGTACACTCCCAGCTCCTCGTGCACCCAACACGCTCCTTTTAATTGGGTTTATTAAAAAAGGAATCATTGCAATGTTTTTCTGAGGGGCATTGCTGTAATCTGTAGGCCGTTAAAATTGTAAAATAATAATATGAGTCTTGATATTGGCAAACGGAATTAGTGCGCTTTTAAAAAGTGGAAGGAAATAGTTAAAGCAACACTAAAGTCGGGTTAAATATTAAAAATGCACTCAAGTACCCTAACTATTAACCAAAATGTATCACTCGGCTGTAGATCCTCCAATCATCTCTGAATTGATGCTGACACTGTCCTTCCTTCTGGAGGGTGCCTACTTTTGTTTTCAATGGTCCCTGTATGTGTTGTAAAGTAGTCACCGCTCCAAGCTCGGGTTGGACTACAATCTCATGTTTAGTTTACTCATTTGTATTGAGATTGTAGTCCATCCCGGGAGGGAGCTTGGAGCGGTGACTACTTTACAACACACACAGGGACCATGGGGAATAAAAGTAGCCACCCTCCGGAAGGAAGGACAGTGTCGGCACCAATTCAGAGATGATTGGAGGATCTACAGCCGAGTGATACACAAATAAGATACATTTTTGTTAAAAGTTAGGTTACTAGAATGTATTTTTAACATATAACTAATTTTTGTCCACTAAAGGTAACCCAAAAATGTATGGGTGTGAATGAGACCAGTTCTCACCACTTTGTTGCGTTGCAGTGTGCTAAAAAAAGAAAAGTAGAGCTACGCTGCACAATGCAATGGATGTCAATGAAGTATGAAATTGCAAGTACACAGACCTCCGTTGACTTCCGTTTGTAGGTCCGATTTTAGTGTGAATGGACCCTTAACATCTTTATTTCAGGCAAATAGCTAAACACATAGATGAACTATATACTGTATATAAGGAAGCTCTGCCACACAACACAGTCAGCAGGACAGGAGACCTGATTTTTCTCTGCTGCAGTTCAATAACACTTAGGCCTCATTCACACAGCGTATCGTATCGGGCCGTACAGATCTGTGCAGCGTGCGCGGCCGTCGGGATGTTCCCGGGAAGGACAGGTGCTGCGTGTGATTGCACGCAGCAGCCTGTTCTTCCCTATGGGAGGACGCGGCCGTACTCGCAGTCATACGCTCACACAAACTGCACATCCGTGCGGGTGTCCGTGCTCGGACGCAGACAGGATCCATCTTGTCTGCGTCCGAGTACGGACACCAGCACGGATGTGCACTCACTACATAAAAGTGATTTTTATATTAAAGTAAGCTTTGATTATCAAAAAACAACTCAAGTATGTATTCCTATTACAATGCTGATAGTATAACATGAGTGGGTATACTGGGACTTTACAACTCCTTTAAAACGTTCTCCTGCTTTCAGGTGGGCTGCAGATCTTTTATCCTCTGGGGGGATTTTTTATTAGACTTCTTTAGGCTTTACAGGTGTTTATGCAGCACACAGGTCTAGTCTACTGCTCACTGCGTTCAATGCAACTGGAGATGAATTGCTGCTTTTGGACACATTGAACGACATTTATAGGATGTCCTCACCGAATTGCTGAACATTTCCCTAATCCAAGCTTTTCATTACATATAAATAATGACTGTTAACTTTGAGGGTGCCGTGCCTATATGACTAAGGCACAGACACAGCTAGGCCCGGTTGCTGTGTTGATGCTCATGTACACGTAGTCTCAGTGTTACGATTAGAATGACAACCCAAAATATGACATTACAGCTTTATGTGAGCATTGTTGCTTTCTTTGTTTTGCAGTGAAGAACACCCCGATGCGGCTCAGCATTCAGGCAGAACACAGAGGCAGCGCAGAGTCCAGTGGAAAGAGGAGCACAGAGCAGGACGAGGCCTGCGCAGACCCGGGACCGGCTCCTGAGGATGGTGAGTACCCAACACGTGCAACTCCTCTACCTTACTGTATGACCAAACAAGAGCCGGTGCCTGTGTCTACACCCCACTGACTGTCTGCTTTTACCTTATAGAAACATCGGATGGCGAGATGATATTCGAGAATGGTCACTTCGCTCTAGACAAAGTCAGGTTTGTATTCTCAGTTACATGTTATTCATTGTATGCATTCAATGGACTTATGTTCGTCTTCTGCATCATAAAGACTGCTTTCATTATAGTGCAAGGTAAATGTATAGCTGTATATAAGTTGTGTGTGTCCGATTTAAAAATCTGTGCATTGTGAAGGTCTGAGGCACTAACATTTTTATATATGCAGTGTGTGTGTATATATATATATATTACATACAGTATATA